ACACTTGTTCCATGGACAGCACCATGAACCAAACCCTTTTGTGCCTAATTCCAAAAGTTCCCCAAGCTTCAATGCTGAAAAACTTCAGACCCATTGGTCTTTGTAACACAATTTATAAAACAGTCACCAAGATCATTGTTAATAGGATAAAACCCATCATGACTCACATCATAGGCCTACGCCAAGCCAGCTTCCTAACCAATAGAAGGGCCTGTGACAATGCCATTATTGTCCAGGAATATATTAACCATTTCAGAAAAATGAAAGGAAGGAATGGTAGCATGATCCTAAAAGTAGACCTGGAGAAGGCCTTTGACAGGCCGGAATGGTCTTTCATTAGAGACACTCTAGAAGCCTTCAACTTCCCCAAGAGATTATCCAATCTAATCATGTCCTGTATAAGCACCTCATCCAGCTCCATCCTTGTCAATGGAGGTAAAACTGAAGCTTTGAATCCTTCAAGAGGCATCAGACAGGGAGACCCAATGTCCTCCTATCTATTCATACTGTGTATGGAAAGGCTCTCAAGATCCATTGACCAAGCAGTCATGCAGAACCAATGGCAACCCATTAGTATAAGTAGGTCAGGGCCAAGATATCCCATCTTTTCTTTGCAGATGACCTTACTCTCTTTGCTAAAGGCAACATTAGGAATTGTAACACCATAATGTCCATCTTATAGAGCTTCAATAACCAGTCAGGTCAAAAAATAAACTTATCCAAATCAAGAGTCCTGTTCTCTTCCAATACAACCCAGGATACATCCCAACAACTCACCAACATGCTATCCATCAAACACACTACCTCCTTTGGGAAATACCTTGGTTTTCCCATTTTCCACAGAAGACAGACAACCTCAGATTTCTAATTCATCATTGATAATATGCAATATAAACTGGCAGGCTGGAAAACTAAATACCTCAACATGGCTGGGAGAACAGTGCTGGCAAAGACAACTCTGAACAGTATCCCAAGCCATGTCATGCAATACATCTCCCTCCCCACCAAAGTAACTAACCAAATTGACAAAATTCTGAGGAACTTCCTCTGGGGCACCACCCCTGAAAAAAAGAAAATCCACTTGATTAAGTGGGATGTAGTTACTCAAACAAAACCAGAGGGAGGGTTAGGATTACAGAAAGCTTGCCTTAAAAACAAAGTTGCTCTAGCAAACCTAGCATGGAGAGCCTACAAGAATACTAACAGCCTCTGGGCCAGAGTTCTGATCCACAAGCACTGTAACATGTCCAGACCTGCACAAGGCTTGGGACACCTTAGAACACAAAAAATCACCAATTTGGAAGGGTTTACTAAAGGGCTGGGAGACTTGTACCAAAGCCAGTAGATGGGTAGTTAATAGAGGGAATAGGGTTAACTTCTTAAATGACAAATGGATCCCTAACCAGCCAGCTCTAAGGCAATTGATTCAAGGCCCTCAAACTCAGAATGATCTTACCATTAAGGTCGATTCAATCCACCATTTGGGCACCTGGAACACCTCAATCTTGTCATTTGATCTTCCCCCTCATATCCTAAACCTCCTTACCTCTGTATTCAGTCCAAGTGTTGCCACAAAAGAGGACAACCTAATCTGGGACCTCAGTGCCAATGGCCAATTCTCTAACAACACTGCTTACTCCTTTTTAAGCAAAAAAACTCAGGCTATCCCTACTGATGGGGAGGAGCAATTCAGGGGAATCTGGAAGCTTCACACTCCAAACAAAATAAAACACTTCATTTGGCTCTTAACTCATAGAAGACTGCCAACCAGAAGTTTCCTCCACTCTATTGGACTGGACTGTCCACAATAATGCCACTTTTGTGGATTTGAAAATGAGGACATTGACCATATCTTCTCCGAATGTCCAAACGTTGTTCAGTTTTGGCATACAACTTAATCAAAAGCAACAACACCTCCTCCATCCAACCTAAGCCTTAATGGCCTTCCTTGGATATTAGTTGTGAATAAAATCAAAGACATTAAGTACAATGCATGCCTCAATTGGGGCAGCCTAATGCCATACTGCCTCTGGCACATTTGGCTGACCAGGAACAACAATGTCTTTAACAACAAAAAGGACCCAATTAATGCTAACAACACAATTGCAAAGGCAACTGAGTTCTGTGTGATGAATAACAACAAGCAAGCAAAGTACAAGCACCAAGTAATGCTAAAGTGGACTCCACCACAAAGGGACTCCTATAAACTGAACACAGATGGTGTAGCTAAAGGAAATCCGGGAATGGGGGGAATATGGGGAGTTTTCAGAAACCACAATGGAAATTGGATTTTAGGATACATGGAAAACATACCCCATACAACAAACATAAGGACAGAAATCAGAGCACTCACCAGAGGTCTACAATTAGCGGAACTGAATAACCTTCTGTCGCTGGAAATAGACACTGACTCTTCAGAAACAATCAATATGCTGATTAATGGCAATCTAATATTTGACCTCTAATTTGTGAATGCAGGTCGCTGATCCAAAGAATGGGCAGAGTGGAGGTGAGGCACACCTACAAGGAGCAAAACAGGGTAGCTGATGTACTGGCAAAGGAAGCAGCGAAGGAAATTTTTTTGTGTAAATCAGTAACTCTAGCAGTTCCTCCGGTGTTTGTCACTGATGTATTTTGGGCAGACATCCTAGGAACTGAACTACCTAGATCATTTTTGGGTTGTAACTTAAGTACTATTATGCATAACTATGCATCATTGGGGGCCTTAAAGTACCCCAGCACCTGCCAAAGCAGTGTAACATTAGGGATTAACCGTTAATATATATATATATATATATATATATATATATANATATATATATATATATATATATATATATATATATATATATATATATATATATATATATATATATAATATCATCCTTTGCACAAAAAAAAAAAGATTATATTTGAATTTATACTGTATCTTTTTTTCCTATTTGGGAAAAAATATTTTGTTCGTTAACTCGCATTTTCATAAATATACAAAGATTTGGAATTCAATTGTAAATCGTGATAAAAGAACATTTCAATGAAAATTCAAATTGCCGCTACTCCCTTAGGTATTCGTAGCTCCAAAAGAGAAGAAAAACACTAAGCTAGCGTTGGGACATAAGTTTGATTGAAACTTAAAAAACGAGTTTTAGAAGTTGTGTTAAGAATAATTTTCAAAAGTTGAAGTTGTGTTTGGACATGAATTTTATTTGAAAAAAAATGAAATTTTATGAGTGGAAAGAAAATTTTCACCAAAAAAACTGCCCTTAACCAGTTTTTTGGAACTTGAAATTTTTTCAAATTTATTTTCAAAAACTGGTCATATTTCACGAACAAACATCATTTTTAATTTTTTTTCCAAAACAAGCTGCCAAAATCTATGGCCAAACGGGTCCTAAAATTGAACTCTTTGAGAAAATCAAATCATTGACAAATGACATTACGGGTGTTCGAAAAACCTACATCTTCTATAAATCATATTGTTTGACATCTTTTTATGCGATCCATCATAAAGAATGATTTAAATCCATAAAAATTATCCAGAAAAAGGTTATTTCCAGTAAAATAAGGTATATAATACATCAAAAAGTTTCAACATAAGCAAATACTTGTATTTCTTTCTTTCCTAGACTCCTAGTAGTATTGTCTTCATGCTCATGAGTACTAAGGGTTTAAGGGCCATGTTAAGCAGGACTAAGACAGAGTACCTGGAGTGCAAGTTCAGCGCTGAGTCGAGGAAGTAGGCAGGGACGTGAGGCTTAGATCACAGGTCATCCCCAAGAGAGGTAGTTTCAAGTACCTTGGGTCGGTTATTCAGGGGAATGGAGAGATAGACGAGGACGTCACTCACCATATAGGGGCGGACTAGATGAAATAGAGGCTAGCATCTGGAGTCTTGTGTGACAAGAAAGTGCCACCGATACTCAAAGATAAGTTTATAAAGCTGTGGTTAGACGGACCATGTTGTATGGGGCAGAGTGTTGGCCGGTTAAGAACTCTCATATCCAGAAGATAAAGGTAGATGAGATGAGGATGTTGAGGTGGATGTACGTGCACACTATGATAGATAAGATTAGGAATGAAGATATTCGGGAGAAGGTGGGTATGGCCCCTGTGGATGACAAGATGCTGGAAGTGAGACTCAGATGGTTCGGGCACGTGTGGAGGAGAAGCCTTGATGCTCCGATGAGGAGGTGTGAGCGGTTGGCTTTGGTGGGTACGAGAAGAGGTAGATGGCAGCATAAGAAGTCTTGGGGAGAGGTGATCAGGCAGGACATGGCACAACTGCAGATTTCCGATGACATAACCCTTGATAGGAAGGTCTGGAGGTCAAGCATTAGGGTTGTAGGCTAGGGGGTAGTCGAACTTTTCTACTTTATACTAGGGGTGAGGCGGGTTTGGTATGGTTGATTTTAGACGGCTTGTGGTTAATGTTGAGTCCACACTATCCTTTTTTTCCCATTGCCCCGGGCCTTAATTACTGGTTATTGTTATTGCATGTCATCTATTTTATGGTTTTTATGCTTTTGTTACTATTTCTATGGTTTCTACTGACGTTATTGAGGAATTGTCTTTCTTGTTTTATTTCTGTCTTCCTGAGCCGAGGGTCTATCGGAAATAACCTCTCTGCCCCATCGGGGTATGGGTAAGGTCTGCGTACACATTACCTTCCCCAGAGCCCACTTTGTGAGATTTTACTGGGTCGTCGTTGTTGTTGTTGTTGCTCATTAGTAATGTTTCTGCTTCCTTGTTCTTCAATTCACAATAGGAAAAATAACATTGTATAGCCGCTCTCAAAATAATAGCCGAAAAATGTATTGATTGGCGCGGGCTAAAAGTGAATTTTGCCTTTCACAATACGATCAATGTTGGCCCACTTTTCTTGACACTTGGGCCTGGGCCGAACTCAACTCACTATTTTTCTTTAATTTTCCTGGACCCAATTCTTTGTTGAGCCCAGACCAAAAGATTGTGTCCTAACCCGAAATTGAAAAACCCTGTACCCATAAACCCCTAAAGATCTCCTCAGCACATAAAGTTCAAAAAGTTATCGCTTCGTGTTCAGTTCTTCGCAATCGGAAAAAATGGGAAAGAATAAGAAGACGATGTCTAATGGCGATAGCCAACATTCACCTGCCACCATATTCGTTAACAATTTACCTTATTCTTTCACTAATGCCCAGGTAATTTCTCCTTTCTTCCTAATAAAAATAAAATTCAGCTCTTTGCTGCTGCAATTCGTCAGAAAAAAAGGAAAAATAAACATACTGAGCTACTAATTATTTACAGTTGGAAGAAACGTTCAGTGAAGTTGGACCAATTAGGCGGTGCTTTATGGTTACAAATAAAGGTAATTTCACTTGAAACATTTACAAATTCAAATATGTTGAAAAAGAAAAAAAATTAGTTAGATGCAAGTACTGGTTTTGTTTTTTAATTGCCTAGTATATTTAATTTTTGCTATGAGTGAAAGAGAATTAGGTAAATGATGGAACACTTATTCCTTTATTAGGATTCAGTTGTTGTTGAAAAACTAATCAAAGTCTTCATTTTTATGTGCATAGGTTCAAGTGAGCACCGAGGCTTCGGCTTTGTGCAATTGTAAGTCAATGCATTTGTTACTACTTTTTGTATTTAAATGTTGGAATGTCTGCGCCCTACTCAAAATTTCTTATCTCATTCTTGACATTAATGGTGTATGAAAAATGAATGCGAATAATTAAAACGGGTCCTTGTCCTTTGCTCATTATCTGCATATTTTTAGTTCGTTCCTTTGTCATTGATTATTTAGAATTCTTGTTTTTCTTACCTTAATCTACATGAAGCTTTTCCAAACTTTATTTTCAGTCTAACATGCTGCCAATGTTGGAAAATGCTAAGTATTACTTTTGAATGCAAGGTGTCGATTTTACATGATCTGACACTATAAATAAATCATGGACTGAAGCAATGGTTCGTAGTTGATATGTTACTTAAGAGAATAAATATTCAGTGGTGTGTTTCCAATCTTGTGTATGTGGTTCGTATATTGTGCAACTTATTCTTCCTTTATGTGTTGTCGTAGTGCATCTATAGACGACGCTAACCGTTCCATCGAGCTGAAAAATGGCACAGTGGTTGGAGGAAGGAAAATTGGAGTTAAACAAGCTATGCAACGTGCACCCCGTGAACAACGTCGATCAAAGGGGGATCAAGGTTTGTGCTTCTTTAGTTTCATATTTTGCCAGATTCAATAAGGAATTGCACTAACATAAAGTACTCAACCTGTTGCTTATCTTACTTTTGTGTCAATTGTATTATTCAGAAAGCACCGCTGATGCAAAAGATGCCAAGGACGTTCCTTCTACTGAAATAGTCAAGCATGAACAAGCTTCAAGCTCTCAGGGAACAGGTTCGTAGCTATAACACTAGAGATACTTCCAATATTAATGTAGCTTTTTAGTTACTAATTGCTGTCTGAGAACCCAATCCAGCACTTAAACTTGACTGCCTTAAGTTACTGCATATAAACGTGATTGATGACAGAACCAAAAGAGCGCTTAATACATTAAGTGCCACATGTTTTAAATATTTTATGAAACCAACTTGGCTTTTCACTAATTTGAAACTGACTATTCAGAGTCATGACATGTCCTCTAACACGTCTCTATAAAAGGAAAATGTAACGGAGATTTAAAACTTCTTTATCTTTTTCTTTCAAAAGGTGATGTTTGGTTAGGAGTAGTGGAGAAAATAAAATCTCCCCATAAAATTTAACATCATTAATATAATGTTTGGCTTCACTTTTCTTTTCTATAAAATTCAGCATTATTTTAGCAATGCTTGGTCCCAATTTTTCTTTTCCACATTACTAGTACCCATATAAGTTATACGAGAATATATGTATTACTTTACGTAGGACAAAATGTAGAAAGAACTCGGGATTAGCAATACATGAATTAAAACTATTAAATGACAAAAATAACCCTTATGTAGTAACCAATTTTTATTTTGTTAAAAGAATAACAATTTTTTTTAAGATATACACTATATAGTATTTTTAAACAACAAACCAAGCATCCAATAATAAATAATCCCTTCATTACAATTCATAAATTATTAATCTCTTAACTACAGTCCCTACATTACTAATCCCTGCATAACTCGTTTCTAAACCAAACGACCCCTTTAATAAGGAAAATTGCACTAACAGAAAATACTCAATCTGTTGATTTTCTGACTTTTTTTTATCAATTATATTTATTATTCAGAAAGCACTGCTCATAAAGAAGACGACAAGGATGGTCCTTCTACTGAAATAGTTGAGAAGAAACAAGCTTCAAACTCGCAGGGAACAGGTTCTTTGCTATAGCATACCAGTGATATTTTCAATATAAATGTAGCTTTTAGTATCTAAGTGCTGTCTGAGAACCCAATTTAGCACTTCAAATTGAATGCCTCAAGTTGTTATATATTAAACGTGTTTGATGACAGAACCAAAGGATCACTTAATACATTAAATGGCACGGCTTTTACATAATTTTGGCCACCAACTTGGATTTTCATTAAGTTGAATATGGCCATTCATGAGTCATGGCATGCCATATAACACGTCTCAATAAAATGTAAATTCAAATTTAAGAGCCACCATATTCTAGATATTCAGTTAATACAATTTTTTTTTGACATTTACAGAGATACGCTTCAATAAATGTTTTAGGATATCTTGACTGAATACTTATCCTAGATACACATAATATAGAATAAATAATACATTAGACATTTAAAAGATAAGGTTTTGCATTAGCTTCATATTTATTCATTGAACGGGATTTACTTTTACGTACAATGATAAGTATCATATGAGTTAGTGATTTTTGTATTTTAAAATTATTAGTGACTTAGATTATTCGACAATACAAAATTCAATCAACTTCAGCCTTCAGATTTTACTTTATAACAGCCCCTGATGCTGTAACTTAATGTTGGCAGAAAACCTAGGAAAACCCACTAGAAAAAGAAAGGCTGCATTGCTTTGTGATGGTGCTGCTGATGAAGGAAATTATTCGGGGAAACAGAGGTACTTTGTTGTGTATTTGATACTGTTGCACTTTCATTTGTTAAATTTCGCTATTTCTCTTGATTATGAAAATATTCTATTTAAACTAAGTTATAAATATCATTTTGGAAATTGTCACTTTTTGTCGATAATAATTTTGGTGTAGGCTAATTTAAAAAAAGGATATCTTGTATTCTAGAGTTTATGTTGTATTGTTAGTATTATTTAAGGACCAAATATGAAGTACTAAAACTCTAGGGACCAGTGGATTAATCTTCTGTAAAATGCTGAAGGATGATAATTGTTGTGCTATCACATTGGACCAGGTCATCCGTTGTTATTCATTAATCATTTCCACTTCCCGTGGTTTTCATTGAATTTTTACTTTTAAGTATGCTGAGTTACTCTAGATTCTTTTTCATTCTTGGTGGATTAGTGCTGTAATATCTTGTCTTGCTCGCCTAACTTTTGAGTCTTGCGTCTTTGTGTTAGACATGATGCTGGTGTCTGCCTAGGCACTACTTAGGTGCTGAGGTATTTTGACCTTTGATTAAAACTAATTATCACTTGCGAACTTTTTAACCTCCCCTGTTTACCAAATATAAATTTTATGCGTCCTCGCACAGTTTTCTGAGAGCTAAAGTTTGTAGTTTCAGATTCATGTAGATTTTGTTTAGAAGTGATTATTGGCTTTCAGGAGCAATTTTGCCACTGCGCTTAAATTTGTTAATTAAAACCTCAGGCGTATCACACTTTTGAGGTGGTGAAGAATGATTTTGTATAGCTTAGAGATAATCTTTTGATTTCATAATGCACCCATGGAGTTGCCGTTTGCATAGATGGTTGAGTGTCTTTTGTAAAGGACCACATTCTTGGCTAGGTTCTCTGCCTTTTGTACCACTTGTAGAAGGGGAGTTTTTCCCATATCAACTAAATATTACTTATCAAAAGAGAAACAGGCATACTGCTACTGCATCACTCTTTGGCAGTTTGAAGTTATGCATTTGAACGTTGAATTGTGATTGTGTAGTCTTTACTTTCCCTTAGTTGACTGATGTAACTCCTCCTTTTGTATTTACTTCTTATGTCTTCCTTCATGTTAAACAGGGTCGCCAGGACAGTTATAATAGGAGGTATCGTAAATGCGGATATGGCAAAGGAGGTTCACCAGCTTGCGCAGAAGTGTGGCACCGTATGTTCTGTTACTTACCCTCTTCCAAAAGAAGAGATTGAAAGTCATGGTAAAACCATTTACATGTGCTTCCACTTTGCATTTGTTTTGGGTGCTATTTCAGCTGCCGCAGGCTATCAGATCTTTTTCATGAACCAGATTTAATCCTGTAATGACTTTCTTTAACATTACTCTTTTCTTAAAACACAGTATGCTTGCTTGTATATATGTGTATCTGGTCCTTTACATAAAGAAGGAAAACATGTACAGTCGGTACTATAAATCATGGAAAAAGGGAGAGTACTCTAGTATAAACTCTTTTGAGTGTAAGCCATCAAAAAATTCTTATCTATGTTAAGAAGGGCATTAAGAAAGGGGAAGAACGAGTTAAGGTCTTAATAGCTATGATATAGTTACATCTCTATTAATAGACAATCCTTACTTCTATGGTCAGTTGCTGAATCAAGTGCAAATGTCTTACACTCTTTGCAGCAGGCATAGCATCTCTATAAGGTCGAATTCCTCTAATTTTTGAGTTCAAATTCCTCGTATATTTTCATGCTGTATTGAGTACATAAAGCTTGATCATCCTCTCTTTTGGATTCCTGTGTACATTGATCATGCATGGTCTCCAAATTTTTTTCACGTAATCTCTTTCCTTATACAAGTCGGTGTTCATGTAAACAGGTTGTTAACTTGGATTACCAATGTTTGTGCTTAGGTTGAAGCAGTTAAGAATAGCTCACTGCTTTGTTCTCAATATGTCTATGTTCAGCACTCAGTTGTAGTTTTTGTAATTAAGGTTTCTCTTTAGCAAATATGCTTACCTAAAAGTCTACATCTTTTTGAGTTAGTACTGCTTAATTTGATTTGTGATTCTCAATGGATTAAATCCGCAATAAGCTGTTGAGGATTTTGGATTTGAAGTGGTTACTTTTACTATAACTTCCTTAGAAGAAACAAGTTGGATCATAAATTCCAATAAAAGCTATAAGATACATGTTATTTGACTTGGCCACTAATATATTTTACAAATCTATTGATATTCTAGGGCTAGCACACGATGGTTGTAAGATGGATGCTTCATCTGTACTTTTCACTAGTGTCAAATCAGCTCAAGCTTGTGTTGCATCATTACACCAAAGAGAAGTAAATGGAGCAACACTTTGGGCACGCCAACTTGGTGGAGAGGTGAGGTCGTAATTTTGTTCAGATAATTGGATGCTGCTGTTTTATTAGCCTTTGTCATGTGAAATGGCTTCCTTAGGGGAAGATTTAAGCAAGTTTGAAATAGTGGGATATGTCCAAAATTGCTTTTACTTATTGCTTCACCTTGATCATGATTTCTTTCAGTGAGGACTATAATGGTAATTGTCGATAATTAAAATAATGAAATGCTTCAGTCAGTATTAATATTCAAGTCCATTGTAGAAATGCCTGAGGGATGAAAAGAACACACCCCTAGTAGCAGATATTCAGGAATTAAAATCCTAGATCCTCCTCATAGTGTGCAAAAAGAGACTGTCTTACCAAGGGAATGTAATGCTTAGGAAGAAGTCCGCGATCATTCGCTTTATTAGAATAAAATAAAAATTGTTTTTGGAATGTGCACTTCGATTTTGAAGAAATATTTCCTACAGCTTCTGTCTCGAAGCTATTATTATTTCTAGCAACGATTCACTGGCTTCTTTATTACCACCCTCTCTTTTCAGTTGGTTTTACATTTCTGGGGGCTGCTCCTTAACCTGAAAAATTGGTGATGTTAGCCACCATGAGCTAGCGGCTTCCAAATGAAAATTTCATTGTGGATTGCACAGTAAACTTCATGATGGTCTTAATACTTTCAAACAGCTGTGGCTGATGGTGCAGAAACTTGATCTCTATCTTCTCAGCTGTGTTTTAGAGCTCTTTCCTGCTAAATAGTTATAGTTCTTTAGCTAGGTATTAGGTTTTTACTTTTCTGCTTCAGTATTGCTGTAGTTTGTTCACCGGAGAAAATACTAAGCATCTGAAATTCAGAATGAAGAAAAAGGAAATACGAGTGACTCTCTTTACTTACCATGTTAATCAGTTCTGGGTGGGCCTTCCTCATGGTTTCTCATATTATTATTCCCAATTAGACCCTGCCTCTTTTTGATATTGGTGGTATCTGGGTTAATTTGCATATACCTCCACTGCACATCCTGTCCGGTCCACAAACACAGGTTGCCGAGATAATCCTATCCACCAAGGCTAGAGCAGATGGGCTCACACCAAGTTGTGTAACTGCAATTCGAACCTGGCGTTTCCATGTTGTCACTCCTGCTCCTCAACCCTCATTTTACCTTTTATCTCTCCCATATCTGTAACTTGTATAAATTGCTAGCGCAACATTCTTGTTTGGAAGAGTACTTGTTCCATTTTTACTGGACACAGTTTGCTGCCCAACTTTGTAAGAAGAGTTATATCAGCTGATGGACTTGCACTTTCTAACTAATACATTTATGACCAGGGTTCAAAGACGCAAAGGTGGAAACTTATAGTGAGGAATCTTCCTTTTAAGGTCTACTCTTCTGTTCTCTATTTTATTATGTCTGTTCTATAAGCTAATCCACTTTTAGTGTACCATTTTCCTTTATATTCATTTGTGCTCACAGAGCTCTGACCTTTGAGCTTGGCAATAATACATAGGCCAAAGTGAATGAGATAAAAGATCTGTTTTCAAAAGTTGGCTTTGTGTGGGATGTGGTTATTCCTAAGAATTCTGAGACAGGGTAAGGGACTTCCCTTTACAATCTAAAGTTTGTTATTGTTAATTGCCACTAGTAACCATTAGTTAGCATTTTGCAGGTTATCAAAAGGATTTGCGTTTGTCAAATTTACGTCGAAGCAGGATGCAGAGAATGTATGAACTTCATATTCATATCAAGTAACTTTATTAAAAAGGGTTTTAATTAGTTGATTCCTTTCTTCTATCTTGAAATTAAGAAGCTATTACAGTCTGAGGAAGTGAACTGTGAAGATGCACATGTGGTGAAAGAATTGATGAATTTGTTTTTATGCGCTTTCTGAAATTCCCCTCAACCTCAAAGAAATGAAGCACAAAAGGATGTTTATGCCCCTTTTGAAGTTTTCAGATTGCATCCAGACAGATTTTTTGTTTGGTTGTTGTCTGCTCAGATTCCACTTGGCAATTATAGCGATATGGGTCTACATTTGGCAATCCATTTTGTTATCATTCTCTTTTACAGTTCAATACCAACTTCTGTTTTTTTAATTCGATTCAGCTGTAGAAAAAAATGAGTCGATTAACATTTTCTTTGTTACTATCTTAAACCTGCTATATTCTCTTGATGTGATTATTTTTTTTTAAATAAAAGGGTTTCTTAAAGCACCTGGTGGTGTGGTCTAAATAAGGGGCCCCGGGGCTTTGTTTCATGGTAATAGCATAGCTAATTGCCTTTTCTGATGCTCATTTCCTCCCTCCCTAATCTTGGAAAGAATAAGTAACGACAAAATGTAGCTGCTCTCCGTGTTTACTCCTTATCCATAGGGTGCTTTTTTGAGATCAAATAATCTTTTACGACGCAAATTAGTACAAGATGTCAAACATAACCACTACAGTCTTTAAGGCTTACTGAACACTTCTCTTGTTAAAGTGAAGAATCATACCTTTTGCCACAGTTTGCATATCTTGCTAGATATGATTGGAGTTTCTCTTTTATAAGGAATATGTGAGTGAAGCATCACAAAATGCTAGTGCTTCCAATTTATGTTTTCAATGATGTACTTGAGGAGCTTGCACCACTTTTTTTTTTTGATAAGGAGGAGCTTGCACCACTTTGAACTTTCATTTGGTTATACCCTTGCATTCTTATCTAGTTGAACTCCTAATTTTGTTTTCAATATCTCTTTGTAGGTTATTAAGACATTTAATGGGAAAACATTGAGTAAACGAACTATTGCAGTTGATTGGGCCGTATCAAAAAAGGTTTATGCAGCTGGTGGTCAATCTTCAGCAACTGTACAAGATGGTAAGTGTCTCTCTCTTTTTGTCTGAGAGTATTTGTTATATTTTGCTAGATATGTCATCATTTTCTTAATCCAATCATATCGAGCAAATTTTGGTCTTTAGGCATGGAAATGAAGTACTAGCGTGGCATCTACCTTTTGGTATACTTCTTGTATACGAGTTTTTTTTTTGACCAAACATATAAGAGGTTTCTCTGATTTAATACACCATTGGATCAAGTCAGGAATAATGATTTGGCGGCTCATGTTGGTTTTTCAAAATTCTTTGGCCATTGGCCAGATCTATTTTCTTATTTTTAATGAGTGTGCTTAAAAAATCACCAATTTGATGAGTATATTATAGTGAGCAGACATGAGACAGAAACATAACGCGGATGATGTGTATGTGCTGCTTTTTGGCTTTTGGAAAATCCCTCAGGCCGTAGATTTTTCAATCTCTTCTCCTTGCTCAGAATCAAGGTCTGTTTCAAGGGGCATGTGGATCAGAGGCTTGCAGAAGATAAGGGAAAAAGGAAAATTTGCATTGACCTGCAATGGACTCAGATCTATCTAGTATAAGCTGAAACTAAATGCTAATTGTGCCTTAATAGGTTGTTGCATTCTTTGCTCTATAATTGAGATACTTCTACTCCTTCTACTAAGATGGATGATCACTTCGTAACATATCTTAGTTGCTTTGACTCTGTTACTCAAAATGTGTTTGGAATGCTAATTTCGTTTCGTATGCCTCATCAAGATCTTCATGTTTTGAATCGGGTTCAATTTTGTTTGATGAAAGATCCATGTGTGCAAGTCTTGCTTTGCTTGGTTTCTTGAAGTCCCGGTGTCCAACATTCTCCTCTGTATATATGAAGAGAACTAAGTTCTTTTAGAAGTGAAGTTGAAATAATGTAAGTATCCTTCGGCGTCTAGGTACCTAATGCGTGATGTGTGGTTACTTGTAGAGACCTGTTAACAATAGTTTAGGTATTTTGGGGGGTTTCTCACAAGAGCTTATCATTGTTGTCTGATCATGCTTTTAGAGCTTTTTATCCCCTTTTTCCCTCAAAATGTTTCTCTTTGTCTTTCTGTCAGAAGTATCTGTGCTTCACTTATTAGCAACCCATCAAAATATTATCTATCCTCCCTTGAAATAGAACTTAACATGGCCAACTACTACTCCGTCGTATAGGTGCTGCGTCATTTCTTAGTGTTTTGAGGGTATATTGCCCTCTCACTAACCTCCCTTAAAATAGACGTTAAAATTACCAACTACTACTCCGCCGTATAGGTGCTGCGTCATTTCCTCTACCTAGTGTTTGAGGGTATATTGCCGTCTTGCTATTTTCTTTTTTAAACCTTTGTTAAGTCTGATTTAGAGAATATTGAATTCTTGATGGTTGTCACTTCTCATCCATCTAAACTGTTCCACAGCTAGTTCTTCCTTTCTTTTTCATTTTGGTGCTGATGTTATAATGCTATATCAGTTACTTTGTTTATGCTCTTAAAGGCATTGCTTCATGAGTTTGGGAACATAACAAATTCAATCTACACTATTTTCTCTGCAGGACAGGACGCAAAAGATGATAGTAGTAGCGATACGGATGAAGACATTGAAAATGATGGAAAATCTCAGCAAGCCGAAGAGGACGGAGATGACTCTCACCTTTTGGAAGAAGAAAATAACCAGACTGAAGTTAATTTTGACGAAGAGGCAAACATTGCGAAAAAAGTTCTTCAGAATTTCATTTCTCCAACTTCAATAGGGCCAACTACTTCTACAAATGATTTTTCAGGCCTTCCCAAGCAGGGGAAGGATGTTGAAACTATTCTCCCACCAGATGAACCACTGGGTGCATCTACGGCAAATAAAACACCACACGACAATTTAGACAAGAGCAAAGAGATTAATGCTGGGCAGAGTGAGGGAGCAGATGATCTGCAGGGAACAGTTTTCATTAGTAACCTTCCTTTTGACGTTGATAATAAAGAAGTCAAACAACGGTTTTCTGCTTTTGGTGAAGTGGAGTACTTTGCTCCGGTTCTTGACCGAGTCACCAAGTATGATCTCTACGGTGTGTTTACACTTTGTTGTCTAACGGCTCCTAGTAAACTTATTCTACATGTTGCAGGCGACCAAGGGGTACTGGTTTTCTCAAATTTAAAACAGCAGAGGCTGCTGAAGCTGCTGTTTCCGCTGCCAATGTTGTGGATGGTTTAGGTGTCTTTCTGAAGGGTCGGCAATTAAAGATTTTGAAGGCTTTGGACAAGAAAGCTGCTCATGATAAGGAGTTGGAGAAGGCCAAAAAGGAGGATAATGACCACCGCAACCTTTACCTGGCAAAGGTTGGCTTCTATTGCTAATGCAGTCTCGGCATTTAACTTCTTCCAAGAGATTTTTTAAAATTAATGTGGATGTAATCTGTTTTTCGGTAACAGGAGGGTCTTATTGTGGAGGGGACCCCAGCTGCTGCAGGTGTTTCAGTGAGTGATATGTCAAAGCGCAAGGGGTAAGTCTTACCAAGTTTTTTCTTAAATTCAAAACGGTGGATCTTGAAAGGTTAGCATGCTTTTGGTAGTGCATATCCTAACAATTAACCTCATATCAGCTGAGTAATAATTTTTTGGAAACTCGGAATTGCCCCTATTCTTATGACTCCTTTTTAATAAAAGCTTCTTTAACATAATATAGGACAATGATTCATAGAGCAAGAGTGATCCCTTAAGAGAAGTCTATACGTCCAGAGCAAAAAGGAAATATATGGTAGGAGTGACTTGTGTAATAATAATAATGTTTAATATTTTATAAAATTAGAGCTCCCTGTTAAGACAATAAAAGGTAACAAGCTGGATATAAGTTTGTGATGGAAATCTGCTAATTGTGTTTGATAGCAGTCCCACATAAGAACAGTGGAAGAGCTACAGTTCTTTTTTCCATTATTTAACCAACTTTCCTTAATAGAAGCAGGAAAGTTTGGCCCATCTCTGTTGGACTTGATTTCCTCCTGAATTGCCTGCTCTAAGCTAGACTTTTTCTTTTACGTGAAAAATAGAGCGCGTAAACTTGACAAAATTAGCCAAGTTTTTAGGAATTGCAGTTCAGGATGACGAATAAGGCACTAGATCATGAAAAACTCTTAGGTGGTGTATGCTGAGTATCTTTCAAGAGTTTGAACTATGCAAAAGGGTGAAATTACAGTGGGTTGGCGTCACACACATTTTGTCAAACGGAAATGTCCCCGTGATGAGGCTAATTTTCTTCTGATGAATAACATTCTGTTGTTTAGAGTGCAACTGGTTTCATAGGTAATGTCTTGCAGTCACGAGAGGTGAGTCCTTGTGATTTTGCTAGTTTGAGGATTTAGTTTGCCTCTGCAGGCCACATTTCAGGTTGGTGGCAACTCCCTTTACAATAATTCTAGTAGATTTTCTGCATTCAACGGTTAACAAACGCTCCCCTCTTTTTTATATTTTGGTATGCCAGTGTGATTTTCCTTGGACTATTTATTCCTTTCCTTCCACTTTAGGTTGAAACTGAATTGATTAGCAAATAAATTGGATGAATAGATAATTACTTCACCTTTTACTCTTTTGATGACCTTTGCAACATTTTATGCTTTTCTTAAATCAGTAAATGCAGAATGCTTTTAAAAGTTGTGGAGCTGTTCTATTGCAGTTCTTAAATGTTTTATATGTTCCTAGCCTGCGATGCTAATGTAGTTCCTCACTCAGGCTGCAAGAAAAGAAGATGATCAAGCTGAAATCCCCAAATTTCCATGTGTCAAGGACACGGCTGATTGTATACAATCTTCCCAAGTCGATGAGTGAAAAACAGCTGAAGACACTTTGCATTGATGCAGTTACCTCTCGTGCTACTAAGCAAAAGCCTGTGATCCGGCAGGTGAGCTATGTTTTGAAATTTAGTCTTTACAGTTTGGCTATATTTGTTCTTGCAACTCATTATCTTTTTCTATGTTGCAGATAAAGTTTTTGAAGGATGTGAAAAAAGGACAAGTAGTAGCAAAGAATCATTCTCGCGGAGTAGCTTTTCTTGAGTTCTCAGAGCATCAACATGCACTTGTGGCTTTAAGAGTTCTCAACAACAATCCTGGTAATGTGCCTTTAGTGTGCTAGATATTGCAACCTTACGTGTTTCTGGTGAATGTTAGGATTCTAGGTTTATGGCTTATCTGAGTAATTATATATTTCCAGAGACTTTTGGTCCTGAGCATCGTCCAATAGTGGAGTTTGCTCTTGATAATGTGCAAACAATGAAGCTTCGTAATCAGAAACTTCAGCAGCAAGGTTTTAACAAGAACAGAGAAGATCTGCAGCAGAATGCCAATAAAACTGAACTGAATCCCTGTGATAAACAGTCAAGAAAACGCAAGTCCAGTGGGGACACACCAGTTGCTGGGAATAGAGATGTAGTGAAAAGCAAGCGTGTCAGAGGTGCCACCGCAGAGGAAGGCAATGTGTCATCAGTTTCAGGGAGTAAAGATGGACATGAACTGAAAAATAGAGGTGCCAGAGGAACCAACTCTAAAGAAGAAAGAGATGAGAAGAAGAACAACAAGATGGAAGGTAAAAAGCTAGGAGGCACGAAACAAAAGCCAAAAGATAATCAAGAAGGAAAAAAGCTTGGCAGATTTGGAAACGAACATTCTGATAATGCTGCTCTCAAGGTGGGACATAAAGAAGATGTTGCAGTGAGAACAAAAAGGAGGAAGTTGGAAGATAAAACTAACCAACAGAAACAAAATATGAGTTTACAGGTCAAGAAAAAGGATAAAAAGAATAAAGACCCGGTGGGACGGGATGCTGTAGACAAGCTGGATATGCTGATTGAGCAATACAGATCCAAATTCACAAACAACAGTTCTAATCAAACTGATAGTAAGCAGCAGGGCTCTAAACAGCTTAAAAGGTGGTTCCAATCCTAAACCAATAGTTCTTCTGTAGCTTAATTTTATTTGATGATAACTGAGTATCATTTTGGGTTTGTATTTTGTTGTATTCTCCCCTTAAAATATGGGATAACAATTTTGGTTTTAATATATGGGATAGCAATTTTAGTCAGATTTTATTTTTGTTTTTTCCTTTTTCTTTTATCAATTGTTTTTACGTTCTGTTCTTAGCCCCCAGGGCATGGCCGAGGGCATGACCCTTGATAGGAAGATGTAGATGTCGACGATTAGGGTAGTAGGGTAGGTGGTCTAGATTGCTTATGCTTTCTTGAGCCGAGGTCTATTGGAAACAACTTCTCTATCTTCACAAGGTAGGGTTAAGATATGCATATACACTGCCCTCCTCAGACCCCACGGTGTAGGATATTACTGAGTATGTTGTTCTTAGCTCCCAGGGTGCTTACAGGATGTGACACAAGGGGATTGGAAAACTGCGAAAATGCTGCAGTTGAGAGGTGGATCTATTAACCAAAACATTTTTTGAACTCCTTTTGTTGCTTTATCGGAAGTTTTTCGTGCATTAATGAGTTACGAAATTTGCCAATTTTTATTAGCATGAGATGATTAGATTGTGTTCATAGGCCGTAAGGAGGCATAAGAGAGGAGTGTTAATAGTGCGGCCAATAAAGGTAAGGAATAGACACGAACAAGAATAGGTCTTTTGCACAAGAATAGGGAAACAAGTAAGAAGTTGTGGTTCACAAAATTATTTTTCCATTTTGTCCCAATAAAATAAAGCGTGGATATTCAAACGAAGAAAATTTTAACAAGATAACTTCCAAGATTATGAACAAAAATTTACCATACCACTACACGGTAAATTACAACAACAACAACCCAAACCCAACGTAACCACTACACAGTAAATTACAACCCGTAATATAGGACCATAAAATAAGAACATCTCTATGCCATCAATTTGGGATCAAGATAACATAAATACAAAACTACTTACTTAATTTGTTACATTGAGTAACATATAAAAATTCCCGTGAAATGTGTAATCTTATTAGATTTAATCCAGCATGTCCTAATTAAAACCCCATTATGAGGACCCCACAAGCATGTGCCAGTTGTATTCGTTCCTTTTACTCTCTCTTAGTCTCTTTTCATCCAAAACAAATTTCTCCTATTATGGAAAACCTTACTCCCATCATTCTCATCCCCTCGACTCTTTTTTTCTTTTGCACCTTAGTATATGCACTATTATGCAATTTGTAACCCATATTTCACCTTTTTATCTTTTTTTTTTTTGTTTGTTTTTGTTTTGTGATAGACAACATTTCACCTCAAACCCCAACTGAAATAAAATCTAAAAATAATAATAAAATGGATGTTTTCTTGTTAATCTCGATATTATATTGACATTTAGGTAAAAACAATAATGTCATAATGAGTTTAAAAGAAAATATATTCCATTCCATTCAATTTATGTGAATACATTTGACTTGATAAGGAACATAAGAAAAACAAAGATAAAGGCTTTAATTTATGAAATTAAACATGTCATAATATTTTCTCGGCTATAAATGTATGGAATTAAGGGTAAAACTAGAATCTAAAAGGAAATATGTGATATGAAATAGATTATTTTTTGCTTTTTGAGAGTCAGTTTGGTTAATCTTTGAAGTTAAATTGAATTAGATTAACTCAATATTAAAGTTAAAATTTAAATATTTAAAAATTATATAAATGTAATATAAGTTATAATATTTCTGATGTCAATGTGAATGAAAAAATTATATGTTAAAATGTTGGTCAAACTTTATATTGTCTAAATCTCGAAAAGCAAAAAGATTCAGACAAATAAAGTATTTAGTAATAAAAATAGGAAAAACGGCACGCGGTAAAATGCAAAAAGATGGTACTCCGTATATTATAGGGTTCAAAATGCAAAAATATGTCCTCCCAGCTCAGCGAAACAAAAATTCCAAATACCAAACCTTTTTCCTCTCTTTGTTCCCCTCCGTCTCCGCCGTTCAATCTGCTACCTCTCTTTCCTTTTTCTAAAAGCCCGCATTTTCCTTTTTACACTCTCCAATATTCTCCTATATCCCCAGCTTTAAGAAAACCCTAAACCTTTTAAGGAAAAAGAAAGAGAATTTCCAGTTTTTTGAGCCATTCATTCCTTGAACTTTTTCTACTGTGTGTATTTCTTTGTTCTTAACACAATGAAATTGAAGAAACTCCAATTTGGTGGTTCTGTTCGTTTGTTAGTACTGTTATTGTACGTCGTATCATCTGTATACTCTCAGGAGGGTAGTGCTGCAAACGACGCGGCAGTGATGCAAGAATTGAAGAAGCGAATCAACCCGCCGAGTTCACTCGGTTGGAATGACCCGGACCCGTGTAAATGGGGGAAAGTTCAGTGTACAAAGGATGGTCGTGTGACTAGGATCCAAATCGGAAATCAAGGTTTGAAAGGTTCTCTCCCACCAAACTTGAATAACCTTACTGAATTGGTAGTTTTTGAAGTTCAAAATAATGGACTCACTGGGTCACTCCCGAGTTTTTCCGGGTTGGATTCGTTACAGAGCCTTCTTCTAAACAACAATGGGTTCACTTCAATTCCTACCGATTTTTTCGACGGGTTGACTTCTTTGCAAAGTGTTTACTTGGATAAAAATCAGTTTTCGCCATGGTCAATACCGGAAAGTCTGAAAAGTGCTACGAGTATTCAGACTTTCTCTGCCGTTTCTGCTAATATTACTGGTACAATCCCAGATTTTTTTGATGCATTTGCTAGCTTAACAAACTTGCATTTGTCGTTTAATAGTTTGGAAGGTCCTCTGCCCTCAAGCTTTTCGGGCTCTCAGATACAGTCATTGTGGTTAAATGGTCTAAAGGGTAGGTTGAATGGTTCGATCGCTGTGATACAAAACATGACTCAATTAACCGAACTCTGGTTGCAAGGCAATGCGTTTTCAGGTCCTTTGCCTGATTTTTCGGGCCTTAGTCAGTTGCAAAACTGTAGTGTGAGAGATAATAGCCTCACTGGTCCAGTGCCAAACTCTTTGGTTAATCTTCCTTCATTAAAAGAGGTTATTTTGACAAACAATTTTCTGCAAGGGCCTACGCCAAAATTTCCATCTTCAGTGCAAGTGGATATGTTGGCTGATACGAATAGTTTTTGTTTGTCACAGCCGGGTGTTCCTTGTGACTCGCGGGTTAATACACTTTTGGCTGTGGCTAAAGATGTGGGGTACCCTAGGGAGTTTGCTGAGAATTGGAAGGGCAATGATCCGTGTTCCCCTTGGATGGGCATAACTTGTGATGGTGGCAACATTACAGTGCTGAATTTTCAGAAGATGGGACTTACCGGGACAATCTCTCCCAACTACTCCTCCATCACATCATTACAGAAGTTGATCCTAGCAAACAATAATCTTATAGGAACTATTCCAAATGAGCTTGCGCTATTGCCTAACTTGAGGGAATTGGATGTTTCTAATAATCAACTTTATGGAAAAATCCCACCATTTAAGAGCAATGTTCTTTTGAAAACTCAAGGCAATGTCAATATTGGGAAAGATAATCCACCTCCACCTGCACCTGGAACACCTTCGGGGAGCACTCCTGGTTCATCTGATGGGGGCGGAGGTGGACAAACTCATGCAAATGGTGGTAAAAAGTCTTCAACTGGGGTTGTTGTGGGCTCAGTCATCGGTGGTGTTTGTGCTGCCGCTGTGCTTGCTGGGCTGTTTGTCTTTTGCCTTTACAGGACTAAACACAAGCGGTCAGGCAGAGTTCAGAGTCCACACACAGTGGTTATTCATCCTCATCATTCAGGATCTGACCAAGATGCTGTTAAGATCACGATTGCTGGTTCAAGTGTCAATGGAGGGGATAGTTGTGGAAGCAGCAGCGCACCTGGGGATTTGCACATTGTTGAGGCTGGTAACATGGTGATTTCCATTCAAGTTTTGAGGGATGTAACTAACAACTTCAGCGAAGTGAATATATTGGGGAGAGGTGGATTTGGAACTGTGTACAAGGGGGAGTTGCATGATGGAACTAAAATGGCTGTTAAGAGGATGGAATCTGGAGTTATGAGTGAGAAGGGTTTGGATGAGTTCAAGTCTGAGATTGCAGTACTTACTAAGGTTCGCCATAGGCATTTGGTTACACTGCTAGGATATTGCTTGGATGGAAATGAGAGGCTTCTAGTATATGAGTATATGCCACAAGGGACACTTAGCAGGTATCTTTTCAACTGGAAGGAAGAAGGGTTAAAACCCCTCGAATGGACAAGGAGACTAACCATAGCATTGGATGTTGCAAGGGGTGTTGAGTATCTTCACGGTTTAGCTCAACAGAGCTTCATTCATAGAGATCTGAAGCCATCAAACATTCTCTTGGGAGATGATATGAGGGCAAAAGTAGCAGATTTTGGACTTGTTCGCCTTGCTCCTGATGGAAAAGCTTCAGTGGTTACAAGGTTAGCCGGAACTTTTGGCTATCTTGCACCAGAGTATGCAGGTAAAATTCATCATGTAACTTGTTAACTTTCATTTTATTATTGCATCTATTTGCTTACATACACCAAAGTATGCAAGGGTATATAAGGTCAAATAATATAAAACTAATAAGCTTTAGAGGACAACGGAATCAAAACCAATAAAAAATGAAGTTGGAGAAGTTCCTGTTGTAAGATTGCAGCAGATGAACTTACGCTGTAACATATCTTCAAATAATGGACTGGGAGTTCTAAGAACATAAAAATAAGCAATATGCCTCAATCAATTTAAATTGAAACCCTTCGGAGAAATTTTTGTTTTACTTTTTTGCTCGACACCATCCATTTCCTTGATAAAATGTAGGAATTTCCTGGTAACATGGCTCTGATTTTCATAAGTCAGTTCTGTTCTATTCACTATCAGTGTTGGACAAAGAGATTGATAATACCCATCATGTGTTGTGCTCTGTTTACAAAATAATGTTGGATGATGACTTCCTCGTATTGGTGAAAAGCACTTGCCTTTCTATGATTAAAAACTTTCTTCCTCGATAATAAAGTCGTGTTGCTGTAGTTCATATCCTTCAGGCGTTGATAGAGTTCTTCCATTTGATTTCTTATTTACATTTTATTCTCCCTACAACAACGCCTCAATCTC